GATGGCTTCTCATGTGGAGCCGAAAGCTCAGAATAAAAATATCGTTCCAGAGTTCGCATCTTCGTCTGCTTTAGAAGGTTATACAAATTTGGTAGGCAAACTCGTCGCTCTGTTGTCGGAAGTCGTGGATGCAGGCAACACGTCGTCCTTGAGCAGCACCACATGTGAACATATGTAGTTCAGTGCTAACAGTTATACACATGCCACATGTTTGGCAGACATACAGCGTGCATAGCCTTCTACAATTTCCCTCCCCTTCAGCACCAGTGTCATCTACGCAATAATTCCCTAATTTAGGCGACATGTGTGAATAAGCCTGCAGCCGGAGACCACCACAAACCCAGCCTATGACTTACAAGTTCATCCTCCAGGTATTTGAAGTGGCCTGATGTTTGATTACCCGATAACTATTTTTACCAATTGACTGTTCAATGGTAACGTGGGAACCTTGGAGAAATATATATTTTAATTTGCTCGTTCTACTTCTCCAGTATTTACTACGCGGTCGGTTAAAAATGTCTCTATAGTGATTTGCGTGTTAACTGATGACATGGGAGACAAAAAGCATGATGCAGCACATCCAACCGCAGACGAGGACCATAATGGTTATATAATCAGACCAGACACATTTGATAGGTTTAAACCGACAATTGCCAAAAATTTAATACTTGAACTTCTCAAAGCTAAGCTTGATGGTTTAAAATACGACTACGAATTATTTCCAGGTATATTGTGCCCAAATAAATTTATTCTGTGAGAAATTACTAGATCACTCGCCGATTCCATCCGTGAGGAGATGAAAGAAAAATTAAAGCTTAACAGATATAAATTCATTGTTCAAGTAACCCTTGGAGAACAAAAGGGACAAGGTGTAAAAGCTTCCTGCCGGTGTTATTGGGATGCAGACGCAGACAACTATGCAGAAGTGACATACTTCAACGAAAGACTGTTTTGTGTTGCTGTTGCATTTGGAATTTATAATTACTAAAGATGTGTACTTTTTACTTATAATCAATTTTGAATAAACATATTTGATTGTTTGGAGCTAATAATTTATCGTGAAAGTGTCTTTCCATAAACACCGATTGTGTAAACCTCCATAGTAACACAACATTTGCAAAATGACGCAATTTGAAAACTTTAAGTTTGTATTTAAAGACATGGCTAGGTCTAGGGAAAATGCAGTACCATTTGCTCTTTGGTAAAGGCATTGAGAAAGAAATCGGTAGCTGGATGCAATCTCTTTGTCTCCATATGGCCCACGCGCGAAGAAACTAAGGCCCTATACACCTTGTATGTAGCCTCCCCGTTGAGGTCTATAAAGGCACTCAAATAAATAAGCTAACAGTCGTGCTATCGTTATCTTATTTCATTTAGTCGTTTCAGTTAGCTCAAAGTCCCTACTTGTGAACTAAACATGAGATGATTAATGTCACTATAAAACCATCAACCTCTTTTGCCAACAACAGCTCTGACTGTGAACGCTTATGCGAAAAAGAGAATATATGGAGGTAAAATAAATATTGATTGCAAAAATACCAAAACAAAACCGTAATACCACACATATTTTTAACATTGAAAGTATCTAGGGGCAACACGTGATCGCATTCTAATAGACACTAATAGTTTCCTTGTATGCACGCGCTCTAGGCCCAAATATTGGTAAGACACTTTACATTTCCGGGCGTAAAACATTGCGACTTGACAAGGATTCTATTATTTTTATATTTTGAAGACGCTTGTGGATAGCGGTATTTAGGTGAACGTATGTCTCATTGTTACTAGTGAATATAATAGAATATAACGATTGTTTTGAGCATGCCGTCCTCGTACTAGGTGCACTTTCCTTTCTTACCATTTAAAAATGTCAATACAATCCCATTTTTGAAATCAGTAAAAATGCCTTAAACTAAGGCCCGCAAAATGTGTTGTTATTAAAATACTTCGACAAGAGGGAACAATTTTTGGTTTCAGGGATCTCAGATAAATAGAGAAAATGGGAAGTCATGCCATCTGCTTACAAGGAACTTCAGTGTTGCATTATCTTCGACTGTGATCTTTCAAGGTAGGGAAAATTAATGGGTTCATTTGGTATTACGGCTGATCGGCCGAGTCCCTTAGCCCATCCGCGCGCCAAGCCAATATTTTGATATTGCTGATCGAAGTCGGCAGAAAAACGAGCCCACGGCTGAATGGGTAGAGCAATAGACTTCTACCGAGCACGTCCCGGGTTTGAACCCCAGTCTGGGATTGGATATAGCTGTTGGGTGACGTTTTATGAGCCAGACATCGTCATTGAAACGTGCGTTGTCTCCGTCGGCATTATTAGTTTTCCTAGACGATCAGCAAAACTACCTGAAACCGCGCATAGCAACACCGCGCTACGAGAACGTATGTTCAATCATTAAGGAGATAATGGGTTCTCCGTTGACTCCCAAGTCATACAAGACAGACATTGTGGACATGACTGTTCCCGACATTTCTCCCCTAGCCACTGACGAACCTGACAGCAATGCGCCTGACCCCGTGACCCCAACAATAATTACCTTCCAAACCCAGCCGGTGCTGTCACAGACGCCGAGCCTGAAACTACAGTACGCCTCGATGGACTTTGCTTTCAACGACATTGCCGTTCATTCGCCGTCTGATTTTCCACGTCCGCATTGCGAGTCTTCAGTGCAATGTGCTCACAGTATACGTGCGCCAATAGTCGTATCGCTTTAGACAGTACATGTATAATTAACAGGGACAGGTGGAGGTGCACTCAGCCAATTTCATTGGATTGACTGGATGCAATATACGTATAGTGGCACAGACTTCGTTCAGCTATATAACCCGGCATTCAAGTGAAACTGTTAACTATTGTCCTATTCCACATAAAAGGAGTGATTGTGGTTTGTGAGGCAATACATAGACCTAACCAAGTACTCAGTTTCTAGGACCCCTTTCAGTGGCGTCTCTTGGTCTACCTTCAAGGGTATCTAAGGAAAATACGCACGAATACATGTGTATATTCCTCAGGGCTCGCTCTCAAACCCCGCCAGCAGCAATTACTGAACGGCTAGCGTATTATGGGCATAAACACACTACGGGACAGTCAAGGGAGAGTAGAATGCCCATTTCTAGGTTATTAGCTGTCATCGACTTATCATGCCCAATGCTACGTACTACATAAACCGAGGCTCGAACCCGCGCTCTGTTAATTAGAAGTCCGACTTTCTTATCCGCTACGTCACGAGTTTGCTTTCCCATCGGTTCTGATTGAGGATATTACTGAGGGTAGATGAACGCTCACCAATCGTTGTGCCTTGGGGCTAGCTCTTGAGTCCCGCCTATGATATGCTAGCCACTGAGCAGTTGCGCGGCGAATTATTGTCAAGATAGATCAGGTCGATGAAGAACTGTCAGTAGAATCCCCTTATCCCTTCGCCAAGTCAGGCATAATCAGAATTCTTGCATCAGCTGTTGACAAATAAAACCCATCCCAACTCCCTAATGAAACTAAGACTGCTGCTCCACTTTACCTCCCAAGGTCGCTTGCAGGAGCCCAAAAGAGACGTTAATGAACCGATCAAATGCCGGGTCAAAGGAGCAATGTAAGAGAAAAAGAAGAGATTTTCAACGAAAACAGGACATTGCTAAAAAAGAAATCCTGAAAAGAGAAAGAGCTGGGACAGTGATAAAGCAGGAAGGCACATTTTGTGATTATGGGTTGATAGTAAAGATTGTACGATAATGATAAATAGCGCGTTGACACATGGCACCGCACACTGCACATTTTAAATAAAAGTGGGATCAAGGCACATGCGACAAGAGATATACAAACGGGGAAAGGAGTGTGAACCGTAAAAAAGGACGACTTGGGTATGATAAATGCTGAAAAATGTCTGTAGATTGTTGGGGGCTGAGGAGAGCGCTTAAACAGTCGCGAAAGCACCTGCAGAAGCTAATTTCACGAGGTACTGTTCAGAAGTTCGTTCATGGCGAGTGTCTGCAGGCGACAGATGTCGACGTAATCTGTGCGTGCGGTTCCCGAGGAGTCGGAGCCGGACACAATGTCATGACCACTCCCGTCACCGGCATTGCCGCTGCCATCGCCATCACCACCGCAATTAATGTGACAGAGACGCGTCGATCGGCTGGCCAGGTTGAGGGAGCTACTCGATCGGGGCTGTG